AAACATATTCCAATAAGATAGAAAGCACGAAAGCGGCGAACATATTAAATCACATGAAAGAAAACGAATGCTTCAAAAGATCTGCAAAGATTGCGACATGGATTATCAACCTCTCAAAAAACATCTATTTTCAAGTTTAGCCAGACGTAGACGAAACTGACGATAAATGTGTTAGTGGCAATGTACTTTTCGTAGTGTTTTTTTTTTCTGGTGTTGAGACAAACTTGAGCTATTTGATCATTTCGGGTGGATTTTCTCAACCCATTTGATTTGTGATGAAACTTTTTTATGTTTAAACACTCGAACACGGAAGATGTGATATTTACATGTAGCCGTCTGGATGCACTCCAGACGTATCTGACTAGCCAAAATGGCGTCGAACGAAACAGGAAATGGAGTAATTGCTATTAACTGCGGGGGGCCTCTAATCATAGAGAGATATAAATCGGATGATGACAAATGGAAACTAATGCTATAAATATGTAATCAGCGTTTGCGATAAACAACAGACAAGACCCAGACCTATAGTTTTTCTACCGTTTCTACTTCACCTCTTTGCATCTGTTGCAGGGTAAAATGAACTAACAGCCTGATTCCTGGCAAGATAGCTGCTGACTTTGTCTTTACATCTAATGAGGCAACAGCGACCGCAGAGAGAAAATTGGTCATCATTTATCGCAAGCTTGCACTCAGGTAAACATACTCAATACTTTTAACCTTATATTAAAACAAGTTCAAGCGGTAACAAATCATGAATGTCAGTTCTTAAATTCGTGGATGTAATTGAAAGTTTAGCCTACGAAAACAGGCTATTGAAAGTTTGAATATTCCAAATGTCTATAGATAGATGTTTCAGGCCGGCAGACGTAAAAATCCCCTTTCTTTGGTGAGGCAAGATGTGGAATTTGGACCCTGTTTGGACTTACGCATGCAAGAAACAGAATGTTGTTTCTCAATAACTAACTCAGTCTATAGACTTTGTCATGCACAGGAGTACCGATTGCGAATGTATTGGTAATTTTATGAACATTTGTCGTCCTAACCGATAGCGTGGTACGCGCTGGAGAGTTTTTCAAGCTGTTTAGAAGCGAGTAAAACGATGATAAGTCAAAGACTACTGCAAGGCTGACACAACGTGGTATATTCAAAACAATATTTCAGCTGACCAGACCAGCCTTCTTCAGGTTTAGATGTTACTACATTATGAAAATGAAATTACAAAATCATATAATGGTGGATGGTCGTGGAAGTTGTAACACATTTCGAAACTAAAAGGGGTGGCGGAAATGACGAACAAAACATAATAAATAAAGGTAAAACGCGGTCTACGTAGGGACAAGTTTTACGATTCATTGCCTCTATTCTAGCGAGGAAGAAACAAAATCAAACACGCAAACAGGTAAGTAGAAGGCAAGAGGAAACCCTCAGGGCTCCGTAACATTTTCCAGAATGATTTAACTTATCACATTAGTACACACTTTAACATGTATGCAGATGATCACCAGTTCTATGATATGAGTAGTAATATAGAGAATGTTCAAGCTAATCTGGAAGTAAGTGCTGAAGGAGGGGGGCGTTGGGATATTCGGTTTTGCGAATTGGGCCGATTTTTGGTTCGGTTTTTCGGTTTTCACACTTAAAATCTGCGGTTTTTCGGTTTTGGTGTCTTGTGCGGTTTGCGAGTTTTCTCCAATTTAGTCTTTGGTTTTCGGTTTTTGTCAACAATAATGGCGGTATTTCGGATTTTTCTGTCCAGTGCGTTTTATGGTTTTTCTGGTTTTATCGTGGAAGTTACACCCTGAAGTCGCACTAAACTGTAATTCCAAGGGACCTCTTTCTTTTAGAGGAATGCATGACAAGCCTAGTCTCTTAAGCAGTCGTTATTTGGGTCGTAACGCCTGCCAAGCAGACTATGAAAGGCTAAAGATAACATCAAAGCAAATGACTATTTCCCAAATATATTGCGGTTTTGGGCGATTTTTCGGGCGGTTTTTCGGTTTCTAATAGGCCCCTACGCCCCCCTCCTGAAGTGGCTTCCAACTGGTACAGTTCTTAAAGGGAATTATGACAAGTAAAACGACTCTATGAGAATTATCATTGACGAAGACGACGATCAATACACTGTAAAGACCATATTAAAACTATTTGCAGGAAAGGCAGCCAACGTGTAGGAGTTCTAATAAGACTGAGGAACTTAATGCCCACTAGCACTAAACTGAACCTGTTCAAAGCTGCCATTCTATCCTATTTAATTTACTGTTCACTGTCACCTTGTCTGGCATTTCTGTCGTGTTAGTGACAGAAGAAAAGAATACAGGAAAGGGTACACAGAGCTATGATATAGTTCTACTGTGACAAAATGTCAAGCTACATGTATCACAGATTATTAGACATGGCAGATCTGTGCACTCTACAAAACAGAAGGTTGCAGGACTTAGCTATTCTCCTGTACAAGGTTAAGAACAAAGTATGTCTCAAGTATATCAGGTGCTAACCTATTTCAAAGACCCGAGAAAAAAACAAACGTCACGCTAAACAAGGAGTTTTTTACCCCTACAATACTTAACATGGGACGCACACTATCAGATATACTGGGCCTAAGTTATGGAATCTTATACCAACGAATATTAGAAGTTCACCGATACTGTCAGCTTTTAAGAAAAAAAAAAAAAACATTCGCAAACTTGACTTGGATATTTTGACTTATCGTTGTGGTGGTAATTGCACTTAATGTGCTTCTTAATGTCTTTTATGTCTTTTAATCTTTATCTTATGTATTTTTATCTTATTTATATTATTATATAGTAAATATTTTGGTTAGCTTTTTAAACATAATATTAGTTCTTGTTATTTTAATTTTTTGTGTTAGTGTCCCCTTCTAGTATTTTGCCACCTTATGCGCACAATTGTAGATCCTTTTATATTGCAAAAGCTAAGCTACACATTTACTTGACAATGACATCCGACGTTGTCGAAACGTCGTTTACTTCTCTCAGTCGCTAATATTTGTGTTGAAAATATTCCCTCAAGCCTTACTTATTCGATATTTAAGCCTGGCACTCGTCTGCCTGACACTTAAATAAAGTTACTTACCCACTTATACGGTTTCTTACTTACAACCTATAAATACACGTGTGACGAAGAGTTGACGCTAGCTTTTAAAAGGTCATTAAGGAAACTGCTACGCTTGACCCCAAGTGATTATGAATTGATGGAAACAGAGATGAAAGTTCGGAATAAGGCCGTGGAACTCCCAGGCTCAAGGCATTCATTCTTCCTCCGGCTAGAATTTGTCTCGGTGGTCCCAAGTTAAAATCCCTTGTCACACTACCCAAATAGCCTATTCTCTTGGGTTTAGAAAGATGCATGGTGGTAATTTAATAAAAAAAAACAAATTTTCCAGTGTATAGTTACCTTAAAAATCATCCCCATAGCTGATTAATATTTACGTCAAGGCCTTGGATGCTCAGGGGTACTCTGCTCATAGTGCGCATGATCCAAGGAAAAGCTTGTTCGCCATATGCCACCTAAAGAAGAGGTTGACGATACAACAAAATGTTCACAATTACAGTTTTGCTGAGCCCTAAATTTGGTGTCAAAATATGAACAGCATTTTCGAACAAATCAGAACATACTGCTAACCCTATCAGAGCATAAAAAAGAAATCTTAATTTACCCTCGGTATAGCAATAATTCAAATTGAACATAACATTGTTGAGAATCCCAACTGGCCGGAGGCAAACCAGTTGGCTATTTACAAGCGTGGCCGACGATTTGAACTCGAGGCTACCGTGAAACAAATCCAGGTAGCTGTCAGACCGGGACTCGAGCCCGGGACCTCTGTGCGAAAGGTCATGGGTATGTGTCCCTTCCCTCCCCCACCCTGGTAGGAATGTTCTATACTCGTGACGATCAGTATATACTCCAAGTGAGCATCATTCGTTGGCGCCGCTTTACGGTCGGACGTTTGACGCAAACCCCAGTAATGTATGTATTTTCTGAAAGCTTCAGCATTGTAGATTTCGAAGGTATATTCATTAAAATTAAGGTTTGCCGAATATAGCGCCCTATTTCCCAAAATACAGAGGTTCACTAATCAAGCTCGTTTCCGACTGGATTTGAGCGGGAGGACGCGATTAACATCGCTATGTCTTCTTGACACCTTTCTCTAAAAAACGATGTCGGGAATCAGTGTTGATTACTTGTCTGATTTGTTTTTGATACGCAGTTAAACTTTGAGAGTTGATAAAACATGCATTCTTTTCACTTAAATTGTCATAACGTTTGAAAGAAGCAAAAAAATAAAAATTCCCCGACACAGTTTTTTGGCCTGATTATCGGACAACATTCTCTCCAAATTTCTCTCCAAATCCAACTCCAAATTTCCCTCCAACGAAATGTTGAAAACTCGCCGGAAACGAACTCAAAATGCGTGCTTCACTCGCTGAAATTTTCGTTTCGAGATACGAAGGAAAATATACTTTGGGGCGTTCTTCCGGTGTGATGAGATAAGTACACAGAAAGTGTGAAACGATGACGCGTTGATCCAGAAGTGAAGGCTCATTTTACTTTAACAATAGAGCTCGTATCATCCTTTGTAAGATCTGAATTCCACCACGGCCCAGGTTAGTAAGAAAATAATTTTCAATTTTGTTTTTTCTTTCCGATTTTCAAAACGTCTTAGCTTAGAGATGCCGCAGACAAGGAAAGAGCGCACTCGCAAACAACGTAAAGGAAACCAACGAGGAACCGTTTGAGTTGAGATGTTATTGTTACCGTTTCGAACGGAGAACGCGCCAAGGGAGATATGCTTAGAGAATGTCAAACGTCTTTCTCGTCCAGTGCAAGCAACCTCTCCTGCTCGAAGCAGGAACCTTTCTCACTAGCAGCTAGCGCATCAGTTCTGATCGAATGATTTTGAAACGTTTTTCCCCCGGCCTTTTTCCCCTGTGGTGCTTTCTTCGCATTTGCAAAGGGACACGACCTTTTGCGTTTCTTCGACGACATATAACAGCTCGTAGACTACCAAACACACACGTTTGATAATCGAACTACGCCGCATTCTGTCACGCGACTTTTTAATGCAAGTTTACTTCTCGTGACAACCGGTTGACATTTATCAATTAGAGGCCATGAATGTAAAGGAACGTTTTTCGTTTATAACTTTGCTTAGAATCAATTTTTGTCCGTATAATTCTTTTAAATGCAAGAACACCATAAGATCTATCTGAAAAGGGGAACACAATTTTTTTGAAAAATGGTCAATTTTGGGGTGTGCTGATACTTTAAGTGACATTCTGCGATCCGACATGAACAGAACGACAATTTTATTGAGATTCCTATTTGTAGATAAAGTATTATCAATCAATCAATCGATCGATCAATCGATCAATCGATCAATCGATCAGTCGATCAATCAATCAATCAATACGTTAATCGAGCGACTGATAGATCGATCCGATCAGTCGATCGATCAGGGTGGTAAAGGGGTTGTGCGTGACGCGTGATTTGAGCAAAAATTCGCCCGTGACGCGTGAAATCAGCCAAAATCTGGTCGTGACCCGTGAATTATTGCTCTAACGTGACGCGTGATCGGCCTTGTTTGAGGACCGTGATACGTGATTCAGGCGGAAATACACGTGAAAATCAAAATCCTCGTGAATCCATTTATAAAAAAAACAAACCAGAATTGATAAACATACAGTATTAACTCGCCCTTTTTTTTGTCACGCCTGCAGGATACGCTTCTGCATGTAACTAGTCTCAAGTTAACAGATTATTATTTCACAATAAGCGCGCAGCATGATACATGGTGATAAAGCTAATATAGCTAATTGTTATCTCTACACGTGTCTACAGAGTTAAGCGTTTCGCGTTAGCATCTTTTGCAAATGGCAGCGACTAGAGATTTGGAAAGTTCGTCGGAAAAAACAGTTAGAGCTGTCGTGTCTTTTTTCTTGGCAACGGAGTCTGGTCAAACTTCAAGTCAGCCACTCCATAAAGAGAAGTTTAATGTGCCGATTTCGGAAAATGATCACAAGGAGCTTCGTAGTTTTAAACACCACCTTATGCAGTTTACGGGCCTCGCGGACATCGCAGTTAGCAAAGGTCTAGGGAAAAGCAATGAAGACATTCGAAAGCGCTTACGAAGGTTTCTGAAAGCCGATGACGTGCAAAATAAAGATCGCATGGCTGTCGATCCGCTACTAAGGCTTTCTAGTCCTGAGGTTATTAACACTTTAAAAGAGGTCGATTACGTTGTCCACCAAATCATTCCTGAAAAGTACCGCTTTTCAGAAACCAACAAGGCTGGTAACATGTTTCCTCATCCAGTCGCCATAACGTGTGGGCAACATGGGAAACTGCTGTTCTTGGACTACAACCCTTTGAAATCCAATTGCCGGCTCGTAAAAGCTGACCTGCACAACCCAGTGCGAGTTAAGATTCTGAAATCCGACTTACAAGAGGCTCGATCTCTTTGCTATCTTAATGGCACGGGCACAGTGATAATTTGTCAGGTTGATACAGGAGCTTTGAAGATAATTGACTTGGAAGACACGATCACATTGAGACCCTCGCGACTGAAAGATCGCGCATCTTTGGTTGATGAATTGGGCAAGAGAGTGCTATCGTGTACAGGAACAGTAAAGGAGCTTAAAGAAAGACTACAATTTGAACTTCAGAAAGAAAAAGAGTCCTATCAGAGTCAAGGAAAGGATTTCGGGACGGTTTCCTTAGATAAGGAAATAAAACCCTCAAGTATTTGCAGGCTCAGTGATGACATGCTTGCATGTTCTTGCGACTCTTCAAAACAAGTGTTCTCCTTTGCAATCCAGTCAAATGGGCACTACCTTTGCGGTAAAGTAGTCGCAATATGCCAATATCCAGAGGGGTGTGAAAGTGTCCATAGCATGTGCTTCTCTAATAACTTTCTTTTCTTGGCACATGAAACGGGTCTTGCAAAGTTCAGCTTGGCAGCTAGCGTTATGCGTGAAAACATTGTCAGGAACAATAGTCAAGAGTGTAAGGTTATTCCCTCAGTTGCTCCTTTGCCAAACGGCAGAATTGCTTTTACTGATCAAGACAGCAGACAAGTAAAATTGCTTGCACGGGGTGGCGATGTTGTGGTAATTGCTGGTACAGGGGTCGAAAGCAACAGAAATGGATCTGGAAGCCACGCTTCATTTGGACAACCAATGGGCTTGTGCACAGAGTGCCCCAACATCTTTGTAACTGATGGTCAGATCGGCACTGTAAAACTTGTGACGACGATCAGAGGCACAATCGAATTTCTAGAAAATCTCGGCAAGTTCAATCGTGCATTTTCAGTCTATTTAAAGCATCAACCAAGAGAGGAGTACACAATTCAAGAGGCACATCAAATGGTGAAGGATGTTTCTGCCTATGTATAGTCCACAGTTTCTGAAGTACAGGCAGTCTTGAACTCGGATAGGACAACGAACGGACCTGACGGTACTGTTGCCTCGAAAACTGTGAAGTCAACTGCACTTGTCGAGAAAGGCTTAGAAGAACTTCATAACAATTTGCGTGAAGTGAATCCGGACTTCGAGCTAAACCCTGAAGTCTGTCTTACACTGCAAGTTGAGAATTTCCACGCCGTGAGTCATTTTAAGCATCCCACACGTACCGTTTTAGAATCCGCAATTTATTTCGGAAACACGACTCATGAATCACTGAAGCGTACATCCTGTTGGTCAGCGTACTATTTTACCCATCCAGAGTAATATTACCCCGTTCCACAAAATAGCATTTCTCTAAGTGATGTCCCTAAAATGAGGCAGTTGCCTGCGAATAAGATGTCGGAAAGTGATAAAGCCACAATGAGGAGGTGGGCCCACGAACACGGCAAGGCGGTAAGGCAACTTACCGTCCGGCAGAAAAACACAAAGCATGCCACCGGAACTCTCCCGTTGAACATGTACCAGAAAGACTTGCCAATTGGGGAAAGGATTCCGGGCCCAGCGGTATCTGAAACCGCTCAACGTAACACCGATATCAACAGTGATAACTTTGAGACAGCTGCGCAAGAATCAGAGTATGATTCTGCATCAGATGAAGAAGAAGATGCAAGAGGAGATGGAGAGCCTTTGAGAGAAGTAGAAATCAATGACGTTGATGTAAACTTCCTTTCAAAAACAATTCGCACTCGTTCTGGGAGGGCAATCACCTTGTCGAACAGAGCGCTGTCTTCCTATTCATGACGATAAGACTAGTTTAGTAAAATGAAGAGTGCACGACCTTAGAAGAAATATTGCCCCGCTATGAGCCGGTGAAAATTTGTGGTGTCACCTTATCATTGTTTCATTTTTGAAATGGCTAATATTACGACTGATTATCTGTAGAGAACGCCTACTCTTGGCTCGATTTATTCGTTTTCCGGCTATTTTGGCGAAGTTAGTCCACCTGAGTGAATTGTCTTGCTATACTAGGCTATTAAAAACAGAATACCACGCAAATGAACGGATCAGTTAAACCATAATTTATTCAACGAAACAAGTTTAATACGTGATTCGTGAAACACTCTGAAAAACGTACGTGATTCGTGATTTGAAGGAAAATAGGCCCGTGATTCGTGATTGGGACCCCTCCTTTACCACCCTGATCGATCAGTCAGTCAGTCAGTTATTCAATCACCCAATCTATCGATCGATCGATCGATCGATCAATTAATCAGTCCGTCAATCAATCAATCAATCAATCAATCAATCAATCAATCAATCAATCA